TGATTATTTTGTGTATGTAAGATGCACAACTTAGTCAATTACATGTTTGTACAGTGTTCAGTTCAAGTAACCTGTAACATCTTACATGTCTAGTTTAGTGCTCAGTTAAGGTAGCAAACAGTCGCCATTAAATCCTTACCAAATCCTTCAAGAGATTTAAAGACGACTTTGCTTTGCACATTCGCTATACAATTAATTGACTTTACATTTTGTACTGGGAATTAAAATATTATCTTTATCAACATAAATTGTTAAGTATTGTTTTACTAAGCAATTGAAGTATGGAGTTTTTACACTTTGCTAAATGACTTGATGTGAAAAAATTTTTATCTTTGCCAGTTAATATGGTTGCTGAAGGAGCAAGTTCTATTGTTATTCCTAAAAGTTGGAAGGGTGGTTCAAATCTTACTTTGTGTTTTTGGATTTTTGTGTTGTAGGGATTTTGGATAATCATTTTAAGCAAACAGTTTAACTACTGGCCATGTTACAAGTTTACGACACACATTTTGTTTAATATTATCATTAAATTATAGACAAATGGGAAATGATACCTTGTCTAGAATTGACTCCACTTTGAATCAAATCAGCAAACCCAGGATTTTAAGGTAAGCACTATAACCACATCACTATTTTATTTTTCAAATAATTTTATATTTTACCCTTGCTTATTGTAAAGGAACGGTCCAATAATTATATATAGAAATAAGGACCTTATATACAGACATAAATATATATTTTCACACATAAACCTTTAAGGTTTTGTAATGGTACAAGGACCAACACCGCAGTAGGTACAATTCTTTATGTCGGAGACCACAGAAATGTCGCATAATGTGAGCCTAGTGCACGATACCTGTCGTGCTGTTGAGAGTTCACAGGCGAAAGTTTAATCAAATAATATCCATGACTTGTTAGTTCTGGGGCACATTGTAAATAACTTTTGTTTGAAAGAGATTTAGGGGGATAGCACATAATAATGATTCAAAAGTACTTATTCATTTTCAAATTATCTAGGACAATTATTCTGTTTTCGTATATTCGTGTATTGTTACATTAACGGTTGGATTTTAGGATTTTCAATCTGAAAAATGTTTATTAGTATACATTAAAAGCTGATTGGAATTACTGAAAGCAACGATTTACCCCCATAAAACAAAATGTAATAAATATACAACAATAGTAATAAATATATTCAAATATGCTAATGATCTCGTTTGCACCGCCATATAGTCCAAACGACTTCGTTGTACAATTCCACCTTCTTACTGTTTAAAAATATATTTAACCTATTTTGATTCTTCATTTGACTACTAAGAAGTTCCCAGTGAGCTTTTCTTACATGATTTCCAGTTTAGGCTGTGCTCATATACTATTCTTGTTTTTAATTCGGAAATAATATTCTAGACCCAGATTTTATCGTGAAAACTTCCTGATGTTTGCTAATCGTTCTGTAGGATTTCTTCTTAACGTCCTAATGACATTTTCAACGATCTACAGATTTTTCAATGTAATATATCAAACACAAAACCGTCATGGCTAATGGATGCACAATAAAATCAAGATACATCAGTTTTAGTAAAAACGATTACAGTGTGTGACTGTAAAAAAAATGAAAACAAAGCTTTACTGTTCAATGAATAAGCTGAGGCGTGACCTATTTTTATAAATTTAACAAGTATCAAACCTAAGCAAAAATTCACCATCATACTTCACTCTGTTCTTGAACTTACCAATATGATTGTCCAAAAATTAATTATTACATCCCAAAACACACAGTGGAGTTTACAGTTAACGTATAGAGGTCAAAAGACACGAAAGGTTGCGTGCAACGTGCAACACAGTAACACGTTTAGAGCTAATAAAGTATAGTAACACTTTATTGAGCTGTAGTAAAGTAAGAATTTAGATTTAAAAGATCAGGCATGGATTGAACAAACTACTTTATGAACTGTCATCTTTACTGAACCACTGAATATAAGGAGTTTAAGGAGTTGTGTCAACGTCCGGTTTTTGTTTGATGGCGTTTCGCTGATTTTAAACTTAGTTTCACTTCACCAAACATTTTTTTCAAACATCACCTTTCCTTGAAATACTACTCGTAAAATTGTATCCAAGCATTAAGGTGCAAAATTCAAAGTGCACCCTAAAATACAAAATCTTGTATCCAAATTTAGAACACTTAAAAGTTACTTACGTTTTAATAAGGTAGTAAATGTCACATTTGTACAATCAATTCTTTCCGGTGTATATAATATTACTTGTTTTAAACTCACAGACAAAATTATTTATTGGACCTCAGCTAAAATATTTCATAATTTAGCTCAGTTTATATAGCCATATAGCTATCATATATTAATCATTATATTTCCCTCTAATCATACTTTACATCATTACTAACAACATCAATGTTAACAAAGGAGAATGGGAATATTTCCATTGAGTATAAAATACTTTAACATTCATTTGTATCTCACTGTTGAAGGAAATGTAGAAGGAAGACACCCAGGATGTCAGTTGAGTTACGTCACATCCTTTCTGGGTAATAAACACATCCATTGTGCTGGTGCTGTTGCAGTTGCTAATTAACAAAGGGGTGAAATTTCACAGAACAAACTCTTATAAAAGATCTAGGCTTGTGTCTATGAAAATATAGACAGATTTTAAGTGAGAATTCAAGTAACTAACGAACCCAACTAATTAAACTAGTACTTTCCTCCAATAAGATATATAAAGGCGAGCTTTAAAATTGTCACTATTGTTGTGCCAAAACAGATTAAACCAGCTAAAATAGTAAACTTTCATTGTTTTTTGCCAAAAGTTAATATTTGTATGATATAATTTTTCAAATAAAGCCACAACCCAAGAATCCATTAAAATAATAGTAAAATATTCAACTAAATGATAAAATACTGTACTTTTTCTGTGTGGAGGTGTTAGTACATTGCGGGTATTGGGTAACAAAGTTATTTATATTCTTTATAATCACCTTGGGGCGGAAAGAGATTGTCGCACGACAGTTCATATACACGCAATATGACGTGTTATGTCAAAGTGGCAGTCAAACAAGGCTTAGTCGGAGTTGTAAGGTGTCATGTGTGAGGAATGTTCCAGAAGAATGGCTTGAATGATAAAAGGTTTGTAACTTCCTAACAGTTTTCTCAATAAAAAAATTACATTTATAAATTCTTGTAGCTATTCAAATATTTTGATCTTGTTTCTTAATATACTTCTACCCCCTTCTTCCAAAAGGACAAATTATTATGATCTAGAAAATTTGAACTAGAAAATCTGTACATTTTTCTTATTTATATTACACCAGTGAGATCAGCAATGTTGGTTTTTGCCTAGGTTTTTTTTCAAAAATTTGTTCTTGTTCTTAAGAAATTTAATAACAAATTTCTACAATTAATTACTTCAATAAGAATTTGTTGACGGTTTGCAATATACTGATAGTTACCTACCCCCTTAGACTATTAATACAACAGTCAATGGTATCACTCTCAAAAGCCAACATCTTAAAAGCGAATACAAAATTCTCCACTAAGATTAGATAAGATCGGATTGTATGTTAGTATTTTTTTACAGTCATATTTTAATCCATTTTCACGATTGAAAAGGTTACCACAGAAATATGATCTTCGAGGGTTTGTCTTAAAATGATATCTTAAATGTTTTCTGTATGTTAAAATAAAGGTATGGTGTAATGAGTGTGATAATAACTTCAATGGATTGCCTTAATAGATATATTTACCGAATTAAAATAGTTTATTTTAATTATGTCATCACCATAAGTCAGTTGTTCACACGGGCCAAAATTCCGTTTCAACCCTCACTTTATTCCGACCTGGCCTTGACTTGGTTATTAAAGTAGGAGGTGGAAAAGAATCTTTTCAGGGTCAGGCAATAGCGATGGCATATATTTACATTGATTCCCATCACCTGCTATGAGTCGTTACCGTAGAGATAGAAAATATATAGTTCAGATTCACGTTTATATGATAATTGAAGTAACGTTCCCATCACATTTAAAAATCATATGAGAGTTAGCTTAAAGCAGAACACGTTGTTATAGTCCCATAGTGTTTCTTAAAAAAAGCTTCTCTCGAAACTTACTATTATTTTTTACGTTTTTTACTATTTGTAACGCTATATTGTTATAGGTTTAAACCTCACAGATAACGCAGGGATTTAAACTTCGGAGCTGTAGGATGTAGAGAAAAGAATTTATTTATAAAAATAAATACAGTATCTCTGCCTTAAAAAATAAGGTTGCCAATGACAGAAAAATAGTACACATAAAATATCGAAGGATTATACAGCTATAAGACTGATTAATTTTGATGTTTGCCATATAGATGATTTCTCATTATGGCCAATGAACCTCGTTTCATGAATAATAATTTTCAAAAAGGATTTGTCCAAATCATATTGTTTCCAAAAGTTCACAAACAAATTTGATAATGTTCCTCTAGAACCAATAAACAATCCAATCACCTCAATTTTCGAAATTTCAAAATTTTGCTTGAAATATTCAAAGGTAGAATCATAATTCTTTTTTCTCTTCTTCATTTACTTCGTTAGCTTGATTTATGTTTATTTCAAATCGAATTGTAGAATCGAGAATTATATATTGTCTATTAAATAAGCTACTCTCTGTATCTATTTGAGGCCCTTTGTTCCTTTATAAACAATAGGGATTTTTTAACCCTAAGAATTTACCTCACTACTATATTATAGGCTAAACTACTCAAGGGATTGCAAGAAGCAGATATTTACACACAGAAAGTAACAGTATGTCTCAGTATAGTATAATTAATATATATATTCGTACATTTAGTTTATTTTTACATTTTCTAAGTTTTACAACAGTTTTATTCCAAGTAATGTACATATTTTTAAATTATTAAATAAAACAAATAAGCTACATATTAATACAAATTGAACTATGTACCTATAAAAGTCCTCTTAGAAATTCAGGTTTGTTAATATTTTTTCCAGAACCTTTCCAAGTTTTTAAATTAATAGGTGTACATTTTCTATCGGTTGAATTAACCACTTTGTAAAGTTTTGCGGCACATCAATCGTTATGAACTATCTAAAAAAAGCTTTATAAAAACCAGAAAAATATATTTACGAAGATTGTTTACCACGGAAAGTGAAATTCACTCATTGTCCGATCATCGAGACACTGCACTCCTCACTGTGCCTACTCAGGAACTATAAAAATCATTTCGTTTATCAAACGTTCCACAAACTTAGCTTGAATATTAATTTTGTAAATACTTTCCAGTTCGGATTTTTTTACAAGCTGATTTCTTTTCTTAGATGCACACTGAGAAAGAGTTGAACGTTCAGCTAGAAATTCTATAGCTTCCAACGGATGTGGCATCCTGTAGGAGACTTCCTGGGACACTATAGCTGGGTGGATGTCTCCATGAGCAGCTTGGAGGTCAACCCCAAGGGCAGGGAAGGTCAGCTTCTGGCTATCATGGGGTTGAGGGAGAAACATACGAGGAGTAGCAGAAGTGCGGCGACGACTAGGTATACTGAGTAGGACACCCGACAGTTACCTTTTGTAACAGAAAACAATTAATTGAAGTAGAACCTCAATAAGACCCTCGATAACATGTCCTTAGAGAGTAATTTTCATAAACCTTTGATTGCAAATGTCCTTTAATTACACGTTATTGCAAACCTAGATAAGTCAACCTTTGTATTTGATTATTCCCTTCGACTTGTTATCGAGGTTCTGCTGTATTTGTCTAGAACGGTTCCTAAAACAAATGTTTGAATATAAGTATGTGTAATCTCTTAATTATTTTTTACACAAATTAAGTTCATAGTAAGCACTAACAACATATCTCTATATTCCTCGTTTGTTCCGTTTTAAACTTAAAACAATATTTTATTAATTTATTTAAAGTTTATAGTTTTAAACCGCACCAACTAGCACTATATTAATGTTATAGGCATCATAAATCGTTAGATGAACTGTTCTACAAGTAATGATACTATAAACTATACACAAACAATACGTTTCAATACTTTCATTGTAGATATATTTGTATATTTATTGTAACGTTTTCCTGCAAATGATTGTTTAGATACACAAACCGTTATGCTTACCCAGACTGAAGGCATGTGCACCAGGACCACAACAATCCCTGACCTCCCTGTTGTCCAAACCTAGAGGGTAGATGGCCACCCCTCCACTCACCACCAGACCTTGGGCAAAAAAAGAATAAAACATTGAAAATGTTGAAAGACTTGCATGCATAATTTTGAATATTTGGCGAGTACATTAAACCAAACCTCTATTAATTAGTAATTTTTTTATATCCAAGATTATTTTTAAATTTTTTAATGACAAAAAATTGGTACTTTTGAAAACTTTGAAAATATTGTTTTTGTCCATGTGTTTCTTAAAAAGGTGGTTTACCTTAAATAGGCCTATATGGATGTGGTTAATAGATGAACAATATATCAGTATGGTAGGTTCAGTGGATGTTCCGCTATATATGTACCTGAACTTATAGAGAATCTCCATTTAAAAGGCATTGAACAGGAAAAGGTACCGTCTCCCCTTAAGATAAAGTTTTATTTACCTTATTAATTTGATTATTCACTGTGCTGATTCATTTTCCCTTGTTTGAAATTGTATTATTGTAATTGTATAATTATATTATTGTATTGAAATTGTATATTGTATATATTATTATTGTATTTGTTAGATCGAGTTAATCTTTCTCTTTTTATTAATAAATTGTTAATTCATTTAGTAACTCTTGTTTTATTCTCATTCCCGGACCTCACACATTAGCCAAGCCAGTCAATTAACTTTCCCACCCATTAAAAATCATATCCAAAGTTACATTTATGAGTTACACCTGAGTTCTTTAGATTTTGAGACACAATGATTAATTATTGTGTGAGTAAATTTTGCCTTAATGTGTCACACCCTTGCAAGACTACTGAAATTGCATACTTGCTAACAGCTGCATGTAGCCAGCTAGCTTAGCTGTGGTTGTATGGATAACGTGATCAAGACAGCATGCTGACGTGGCGACCACTGCCACTATGATGCTGAGGACACATCCCACAGCCACCAGAACTGTAGATGCTTGCCACCATACACTGGGGATGTCCTTCCATCTGTGGATAGGAAGAAATACTAAATGTAAATATGGAAATATTAAAATGTTTTTGGTATGTAGATATAAAGTGATGGGCTTCTAAGAATTTGTATAAGAAATCATACCGGAGTGCATAAGGGGGTATGTAATTTCGATATAATTCCTCGATAACTTAAAAAAAGGAAATACAAAAACTCGTGCTAATTTTACAAATTAAGTACACTTTTTTAAAGAAACTTTCATGCACGAAATGATGTGAAAAGGTATTATTTATATGCAGACCATTTGTATAACTGGTTCAATTCCAACCAATCGCACTGGTACTTAATCCCGATCGAAAACTAACCTGACTGGAAAGTATTTTATAGAAAATCTTTGATGAAAGTTACAGCCTTATATAATAAATGAAAAGTAAACCTTACATGATTGACTAAGTGTAACAACAATTTAAATATTTTTTTTATATGATTGCAGTAAATATTATTTTTAACACGTTTGTTAACTATTTATGACCTTGATTAAAGTTAAAGTCCTCGTTAATTAATTATCAATGCTCTTGGTAATAGATGGCTTCAGAGGATACCTAAAAAAAAAATGGTAATCCAATCGTGAGTTTTTATCACTATACAAATGTCCACCGATGTAGTTAACTTTCCTTAATCTACGTGCACAAGGCAGTCTCTGCCTATGTAGACTTTCTCTGTGGTTTGTCATCGAAATCTTATTCTCTCTCATTCAAGTAAAGTGTGTTCAGATATTATAAATTTACTTTTTTTAATATATGAAAAGAATCACAGTATTTTGTTAAATTGTTGATCCCTGCTAACATTTTTAGCTTTGATATTCTTCCACATTCTCATGAGTACCTGGAGTATCTTGCACATTGTATGACGATGTCTACTGTTCCCTGGGGTGAACTCCTGGGGAAGTTGCATCTTCTGAAGCTGTTGAAGGAAGCATCCACTCTGCCGAGTAATTTGCCCTGAAACATATGCATCAACGTTACAACAACTTCTACTCTTTTAGAAACGCCTTATTTAATGGTTTGCACTTTTTAAAGACATTTTTTCTCAATTCTGGAGGTTTTTAGTCAAGAAATGAGTAAGTTCTAGTTATTTATTTTACCTGTATCCAGTAGGGTAGATAACAACCGGAGCAACACAAGACTGCTGCGCCGACAGACAGGAACGCCCAAACGTGTCCTGTGGGCGTCAGAGAACCCATCTGTCACAAGGATAATAGATTAATCAAAACATCGTTGAATTAATTTGTAGGTAATTCTGAATCTGAAGTGTAAAATTGAATGACAGGCATTTGCAAAACGTACAAATAGAAAGTTGTTTTTTTTCTTTCGTTGAGTGTTTTCCATTAGTGGTACAAAATGAGCTGTAATGATTGTCTTTGTAAACAAACTCTGAGGGTGTTATCAATTTAGTTCTCTACATGTTTTGCTTACGTACGATTATCTACAAATAGGTACACCGTTCACTAAGGTTTAGTTTTTACAAGGAACACGTTTATTCATGTATTTAGATTGCAAATTAACATTACATTTTGGTCGAACTAGTTTGTGTTTGCTCTATAGGTTTATAGCTTTACTATCCAGATGTTTTCCACCACATTTGCGTAGACTGTTTTAGAGGGTGTACATTAACAGAAGTATAGTATATTCATAGTATAGTAACAAAAGACAAAAATTGATCCAAGTGCTGTGAACATAAAATAGGTTTACAATTTAGATAACATAATTAGTCTTGATAGTTAGAACAGTGTTATCGCTTAAGTCTTCATTATGTGAATTTGAGATATGAACCTGTTCGAGTATTGTATTGTTACATTGGTTTTACTTTGAAAGTCCGTTTGTGTTTTATATAATATATCAGTGTTAAATAGTGAAAATCTATTTTTTACCACTTTTAAGTGTGAGAATGTGTTTATGTGACTGTGTGAATTGAAAAGTACAGGAAAAATAATGGAATAAGTCATACTTACTAAATAGTAGCTTAGTGGTTAAATTGTAAGCACTTTTTCCTATATTGTGAGTAAAATAACATTATTAGTACAGGTAAAATAATACATAAACACTCCATATAAACAACAAAATTTGTACATTCATGAAATTTCACCCGTATGTTACTAATTATATGAGAAATGAAGTTCAAATGAGTTCCCAAAATTTTGGGCATCCTAAGGCCCTTTTTGGGGCCCTTTTTGTTCCGACGGGCCCTTGTTCCTGAATAATTTTGATTTTACGTTTAAGGTCGAGTGAGGTGTGGTTTTCGACGGTTTTAGTTATTTTAAATCGATTGGGACTAGTTTTAAGTGTATTAAACCACTCTATACAGGGTGTTTCGAAATATTATTACTTTTTAAATATTAAACATTTATTCATAAAGTAATAAAATTAGTTACCTCCATGCTCTATATAAAAGGGGATTATTTAAAATAATTGTAATTCTTTACTACGTAAGGGAAAAGGATCACAAGTCATTTTAAAATTTTTAAATCACATTTTTAAATCAAACGTGCACTTATAACTATCCTGCAAAGTTAACCGAGAGAATGTTATTTTTTCTATAATTTGACATAAAAAGCAATCAATGGTTTTACTCAAATTTTTCCCAAATTTTGCGTATACAATAATTGCATTATATATTTTTTAATTTCCAAAAACATAGTCATGACATTGACTATTGGATACTGAAGTAGACTTCCCATCTATATAGACCAGCCATTGCCAATAAAAAACCCTTATATTTGTTTATATTTGTTGAGTTAGTATTGGTTTCTACCTTATATTTTGTTGCTGACCAAGTTGGCGGGCCATAACAGTTGCTTACAATTAGTCATTTCATTAGTTTAACTAGGTAAAACTGTTCGTGTATCCGACAGAAATGAGTAATTTAGATCAGCACTGTCTGTCAGTGGCTCACATCAACTTAGATGCTTTTTATACATAAAACTGGTGACAACTTTAACATGTGGATGGAATGTCTAGTTTTATTAATATTGAAAGGTCATCACCACACAAATTAATCCACCACAACTGCAGGTCGAGATGGCGCGGAAGGAAGGCCAATACGCGCAGTTCATACCCCGTCAGATGTGGAAGGCAGACCCTGAGTTCCCCAAGGGCATGACTCCTCTCAAAACCCCAGTGGAGAATGTAGTAGCCGCCTGGACCAATACACCGCCATGCTCGAGTCCTCAGGAATGCATGACTGCAGTGAGGATGATTCAGAAGAAGCATGTCGAGAGTGGACTTCCGGACATTGCCCACAAGTAAGTACAGGAAGACTCTCGGGGTAGGGTAGTGAAATGTACAAAGTGTCGGTAGGGTAGTATGCAGAATCAGTAATGCAGTTGGTGGTAGTAGATTGCCATGTTATCATCAATATCATTATAAATCGAGATGGGGACGCCACCTTTTGATTCTCAGGCGATCCCTAACCCAGCCAGGTTGCTACTACTCCACCCGGCATCCCTCGACTAGTACACGGCAGCCGGAGTGTTTAACCGACCACGACACAATCTGACGACATGTCATGTCGTGCAGACGTCACCGATCCCGTATTAGCTTGTTTCACATCCAACCGGCTGTCGGGTGCCGGGTGTATTACAAAATGTTAATATTTTATTATTTTAAGTGTTCGTAAGTTGGTGCTGTAATTAATAATCTAGATATAGTCTAGTAGTGTAGGTAATTTTTTAATTTGTACTACAGTCGGTAATTTACTGGGTAGTATAGTCAGTTATGTAGGCGATGTTGTAATCGATACAATAGCCTAGTCGTGTAGTTGATGTGGCACTGATACGGCAGGCTTTTGGTGCAGCTAATAAGAAAGCAGTTTGCATGTTGATTGTAATGTAATAAAATTATCTAATGTGGTACAGTAGTTGAAATATATTGTGTTTAATAAGGTTCTCAATAATAAACGCATGCAGTTAGTTCAATAGATGACGAAACAGTCTGTAGTAGGTGTTGTAGTCGGAACAGTCTTTAAGATTCGTAATGTAGTCATTACGTTTTTTTATGTAATATAGTGTAATATAGGCCTACACAGTAATAAAAAGTATGTAAAACCATAAAATGAATGACCTTTAAAAGTATTGAAATGTTTAACAAATACCAGTCTTTAAACAAATCTGTATTTTTAAAACTGAAATAGATAGAAAGATTCTGTTTGTAAGATTGATTCTTAACAAAGGTTCCGCATTTTTTTACACCAACAAATTGTTTGACCCCCCTAACAGGGTAGGGGGTAGGGGGTATCTATTTCGGTTTAAAATACAGATTTGTTTCCATATTTGTGAAATTAGTGCTTTTTCACATACAGTAAATCAAATTTTGGAATAACTACAATTTTGACTAGGGGTGAGATATTAATCTCGGGTTTGCGTCATAGTGTTTCTTTTGACAAATCGTTCAAAATGAGGGGTCACTCAATAGGAATTGCTATTTGAAAAAAAACCTGTTAGGGGGGTTAAAATATAAAAAATATTTTTGAATCAACGCCACAAACAGAATATTTCTATCAATTTCGGTTTAACCTTTGTGTTATTAACCTATGTGTGCTAGAAGTTTACTCTAAACTCTTTTTTCTTGTTGCAAGTTTCCTGATAGGAGGAGATGGAAGGATCTACGAGGGGAGAGGGTGGAGGCACCAGGGACCTGTCTACCCAGAGACAGTCGAGGACCATGAGAGACTTAACAACAACTGTGTGGAGATAGCCTTCATTGACTGGGCGTGTAAGTATAACCAATGATATTTCATGTTGTCTTCTTGTTTAGCCGTCTGAGTAGCCAAGTGGTTATGCTCGTCTTCAAACCTTAAGGATACTGGTTTGATCATATGCCGGAAAGTTCATTATTATTATTCCATATGTTAAAGCTATAATTTAATAGTGCTATGGTGCTATCCAACAAATGGCTGAAGGCCAAAAGAACACTGAAACTGTTCACACTGAACACGGATGGGGGAGTGAGCTGGCGTAGTGGTTAAGAGCGCGGGACTTCAGTCCGTGAGGTCTCGGGTTCGATCCCCGCCAAGTCACCAATGGATTTTATCTAAGTGACAATGCCGCAACCCCTAGGTCTAGCCTGAAGTAATGTGAAAAACAATCCCAGGCTCGTGCCTAGCGTCCTAGGAAAAAAAAACACTGAACACTGAAAAACTGATTTTAGTGAGAAAATCAGGACTTTATTTATTCTCTGATGTATTAACACATTTAAATAAAACATAATATTGTAATTTCCTAGAAAATACCTTGAAAGTTTCCATTAGGATAACTTGCGATAGGTATTTTAAATTATAAATAAATTAATACATCTTATAAAGAATCCTGGCCCTCATAGATCAATTTAAAAGTTGGTTGATGGTATAATAGGAACACTGTATATCCTGACACAAATAAGATCTTTACTGACGTAAACCTCAATTTAATTAGAATTCACAGAACTTTGCTGAATTATCTGGCAGAACTACCTAATTCAACTTACCCATAAAATGTCACAAAGCGTACGTAAGGAAGTTAACTGGTTTAAAATTGTCTTAATTTTTAGCCGTAAATAAACACGAATCGCTCTGATTGAACCCTGAATTAGTTTTAAACCTTAAATACCTTTTATTATCCTTGATTACGAATTCTTAACAAACACCACTAAACTTAACGGAAAGATAGTATCACATTTTTTTGGTGTCTCGGCTTTTAGTTTGGAAGGTACGGGATCAATTCCACATATCCACATTCAATATCCACATGCAATTTTGACGTTTGCACAAAAAAAAAACCCCGTTTAGTATTATACAAAACAAAAATTGTTACATATATTTTTCTATTTACTAGGAGCAAGTTACAAAAATAAACAAATCTGTATTAGCTAATTAGACAAACGTAAAATACTTCTAGAAGATTAAGAGGAAATGAAAGTATAAGTTATTCTTGTTGTTATTCAGTAGTTCATCAAACAAGACATTTTATACTGTATACCAAGGATTACGTAGGCAACACGGTTTTTAAAATATAGAACAAGAATATTTCAGTACAGATGAGTTAAATTTTATTACCAATTGCCTAACATTTGACTTACTAACAATTGCCTAACATTTGATTCAGAAGACAATCGGCTAGCACGAACTCATTAAACAAGTTTCGCAAATGAATAAACAAGAAAACACTATCCTACGGATTTTATGTAGTTCTTGTGGAAATATTTAAACCCATTAGATTAAAGAGAAGTGTGAGATAAACTATATGAAATGTAAAAAAGAACAATATCAGAAATGTGTTTAAGGTGATGATTGGCCATCAGAAGCATATTTTACCACTTTCTCTTGCGTCGTAACTGACGGCCAAGAGGCCAATGCTCTGGGAGGGATCTTCACATTGTACATTGAGAAGAAAGGGAAAATAAGCCTCTTTAAAACCTACGATCCGGTCAAGGATTATGAGCAAATCGTCCCCCCGGAGCTTCGTGAAGAAGTGTACAGGGAAATGAGGGAAAGAGAGGCTCAAAGAGCAGCAAAGTTAAGAAGAAAGATAGAATAAAAGTGTCTTTGTGAACAAAATCGCAACTTGATACACACAGTCTTCATAACCTAAAAGTAATTTCCAGCTTAACTATTTACTCTCTAAGAAATTATACAATCCCTAGTTTAAGTATGACATTTCTTTTTCCCTGTTTGGTGGTTTGAGAAATATATTTTGAATGTGCGAGTAGAAGTAAGTAAAAAACAAGAGACAATGAAATGATAAGTTTTAGCATGTTCCTATTTAACCTTTTAAACTTTCAGAAATCTAAAAAATTTGCTCTCATCCTACGTACACTGTGTGTATGAAATACTGTTTAATAATCACCAATTTATTAGTCACCATTTTGTTTCATCAATTTTAATATGAAATTTCATTTTGCGATAAAAAATAATATCTTGATCCAGATACAACAGCACGCAAACAAATGATTATTTGATATTCATTAGGATTTTATGCAATGTAAAAAGTATGATTTTATTAAAGATAAACTTGTAAATAGTTTCCACTAATGGCAAACTATACAAATAAGTGATGTAGTGACCACAATTCTTTGAGCTGCTGTTGTTTTATACGTCTTGTTCAACATCTTTCTTAGGCTAAAATAATATTGGTTTTTTCTATATGCTGGTTCACCACAAAAGTCCATGATATTCGTTCCTCGATCAAATACCACAACTGAATTTAATATTTGCTTTGTTTTGATTCGTATTTGCTCCTCATAAAAATGTTCAATGTGAAGATGCAATGTGTAAGAATAAAATCGTACTAAGAAATTGAATTAGGATACAGTATGAAGCATAATATTATTTTGTTAAAGCACAGGATCCAACTCCCAAACAAATGATGTGTTTGTCCCCAATTGTATTGACTGGACAAGAACTCCTTCGTATCGTGGGGGCTTTCAACTTCTACTGGAATAGAGACGGGTTTGTGAAGAGAGTGACAAGTTACAATCCGTTTGGCAAGAGAAACAATCTTAAAAGTTAATTTTTTCTGTTCTATTTCTATTTCTGTAAAATCATTTTTAATAAACCATTTATTGTAAATTAGTTTTGCGTTTTCGTTTTCTTTGTATCCCCTTTTAACTCGGGTTTCCTGATACATGTTATCATACGAAAAGGTCAACGTACAGTAGTTAGTTCAGCTCAGTATTGGTATTTCGGTAAAAACCTAGGTCAGTAACATTTTGTAAATATGTTTTAGTGAAATAAAAATAAAATTTATCTTTCCTGATGATTTCCGGTGTTTTGCAGTTTAACTATACCCTATAACCTATAAATTTAGTGGTTACCCTATACATTACCTGTACGTGAAACGAAGAATAAAAAAAAACTAATGGAAACTTAGGGGAAGGAAGACGGAATAGAAACACAAGACCTAAATAATGCGGAAAACACAAGAATCTCCGTTTCAAAAAATGTCAGTGTAAAATGGTTTCCCGGGCTTTCCTGGCTTTCCTGGCAAGACGATTGGTGTAGAGCTGTTGTAGGTTTGTTTGGGGAATTACAGATTTATTTTGAAGATGCTAAGATTATGAATAAGAAACACATAACGTATAAATTCCACTTAATGAGAAGAGATGGTGTCGTTGTTGTGATTTTAGTATTATTTTGCTTCAAGCAAATGAGTTTTTTTCTTATTTAACCAACCCACCATGTTAAACTTCCCTATCCCAAGCGTGATGTAAACAACTCGGTGAAAAGAACGTTACTGATAGAAGAAGAGTGAAATGGATAATGAACAATATTGTACGTAACCCCCTGTATATTTTCGGGCCAGGTATAATCTTGTACGTTACACGTTACGCAAGAGCGTTTTTACAACACTTAGGTGAATTATGCAACTCGCTTCCGCTCGTTGTACAATATTCACCTGCGTGATATAAAAACGCTCTTACTACACTTGTAACGTAAATAGCAATTATATATATTATAGACTTATGGTGGTCTTAAGACTTTTAAAAAAGAATCCACTTTAAATCCAGAAATTAGTCTTGCCAACAAACAATTTGCTATGAATCTTGTCATTTACAGGCTGAACGGTTTCCTCCAATTTTAAAGAGAGATTCATATCATCATATGATTCTCGATCGCTTTTCTGACATGTCATTACATATCTCAATCACTAATGAAATAAAACTTCGGTTTGAATGGCATATATTGTGATAATAGATTTGTTTTTAAGTATTTAATACATTAAATAATGTCAATTTACGTATCGTTTACTTAGTCTTGCACTAACTGATTTAATGAGTAAATTATTGTAAAAGTAATAGTTTTTCAATCCTTTCCTTATTATTATATTTTAATTTTATTTTGATCCGGAAAGTAGAAGATAAAAAAAAATAATCAAATTAAGCTACTGAAAGTGAGTAGCCTACTTTGGAAAATGCTGTTTTAATTTTATTACTTAACGCGTACCTTGTGACACCGAAATGGCAAATATTTGATCTACTTATATCATACCAAACTAAAAGTTCAATCGTTGCTCACACTATGAACGACTGTTTCCACTATGTTCTGCCTAAGTAAAAAAACCCGTTAAAGTTTAAGTTGAGATAGGAGGTCCATCTCAGTATTTATAAAGAAGACAAATCTTATTTTACCTTTATATACTTTTTCTGAGACTTAAACTTTGAAATTGTTTTCATGATTTGAATTCTGATAGATCTTGCACTATGTTTAACTGCCAATCAGTTTTATGCTTGATTCTTTTGATGATTTTGAAGCTTTGGGTACAGCAACCACTTTGATTAACTTTTACATTTTCCAGACGACCAAAAGCAAACAATTTTCTTCGAGACGATGGACGTCCTCGTTGGTCAGGTACAGGAGTTTGGACATATCACTGAAGCCTTCAGTCTCTACCTATCGTTGAGAGGAGACATTGTTCTGTTTGAAAGATATTCCAAGGACAAAGCTAAACAAGTGTTCTAGTTTGTAGTCTTTACGTCAAAATTAAACTTAAGTTTCTTTAATTACAAATCTAATACCTTTAACTAGCTAGTTAACAATTTAGAATTTAGATTTTCGAAGACTTACCCTACTTTTTCATAAAAGACCATCAAAATAATTGTTCTTGTTGAAAGTAATTATTTATTAGAATGAGTTTTAAGCTTAGGGGATTTTTTTTAAGTTCCCAGAATATATTTAATTATAAAAAATAAACTATTAACACACTTCTTAGTAAAAAGTTGAAATTGTTTAACTTTTCTGTTAAATGTGTGTTAAGAGTTTGTTAATTTATATGACATAATATATTTAAGTTATTGGTGATTTTAATTGACTGGAATTGTAGACTGTAATTTTTTTTAAATACATTCAAAAGAAAACACTAAGATGGTTCTCTCACTGGTTTCAGATTTTTATTTTGTAACCATAAAGGTTGTCGCCAATTTTGATTTTGAACGAAATTCTGATCATAAATCCAAAGCAGCTTACTCGTTGATGGTTTTAATTATCAGTTTTTTCTAGACGAAGAAGTTTTAATTTTTTTAAACAATACTTTTTCCATAATACTATGGTATAGGGGAAGAAAGGTAAAAAATAGAGAAAACCTATTAACATTTTAATAGCGATGTTTTGGATTTATATGGCCAATAACATTCAAACAAAATTATTTTAATTTATCACTGTATTTGTTTTAAAAAGAACTGAACGGTGGCTGTGATGTTTATTTAAGTTTAAATGTTTAAGATTGTGCTAAATAAGCATAACATTATTAATGAACTAGAATATACATACTTATCAGACCAAGTATGAAAAAATCACTTATACAAACTGTAGAAAAGTAGGACGGAAGCTACGTCGTCTTGAAGAAAACTTTCATTCGTCACTTAAATTAAATTCCTTCTTGCAGAGAACGAAGCAGATATTATTTTCTATAAAAACATAATTTTATTCAGTTTCATTCATATTTGAGCACCCACCTCTTTACAAAAATTACCTGATGTTTTAAAGTATAAGAATAATCATACCTAATTAAACATATAGAATGTTTCACATTTAAAAAATCCGACAGTTTCAGAACTGTTCTATAAGATTTTGTTGAAAGTAATTTTCAGTGGTTAATGCACATTATCATAATTAATTTTGCTAAATACTCTTTGTAAAAAGTTAAGTACGAACAACGAATGGTTTAGTTCTAATGTTCAACCCTTATGCGTCATTATTTATAAAAATATCTATTATTAACATAAATTCGTTTTACTTTTTTTTCTGAAGTAGTGCAACAGTATGTATAAGTCACATGAACAAGCCAGAGGTCATAGGGGATTGCAATGATGAGATGTATGTGGTCGGTTAAAACCAACAATATCCAAGCTATCACCTAACACCTAACCGCAACCACGGAGTTATCGTGGACGGTGTACTGTATGTTATCTGCTCAGGCCTACTACTGCGTATTAAATAGTAATTACAAATATAACTCACTTGCTAGTTTTATTGCTATCAAATTACAATTTCTATTACTTTTACTTTATCCCCCTAAACCATAGTATATGGAGAAAGTATTGTTTTTGAGAAAATTTTCGAGTATGAGTTTTCAGTGGATATATCCGTTTTGGGTCCCTTAGATTGATTTTCGAAGTGATGTCTGTGTGTGAATGTGTATAGAGCTACAGACTACACCTGTGGTCCGATATTGATTAAATTTGGTTTTGTAGATCCTAATTTATAATAAATCCACTTTTGTCATTTTTTTGAAATTTTTTATTTTTAATGGCGATTTCCCCATAAAACCCCATAAAATAACGGAAAATCGGGGTTTCTCGAAAATGGCCCGAACGATTTTGGTAAAAATTTAGTATGTTTTAGCCCTTTCAATTCTTAACAAAATGACAGAACTCTCATTTCTGTGAAAATTACGGTTCAAAAGTAATTGTAAATTATGTTATTTTCTCATAAAAACCCATGAAAAAAGGAAAAATGAATTTTTCAGAAAAAACTTACTCTTATCAAAAATTGTCTGTTCTTGTTCTTATAATTCTAAACAAAATTGTTCAACCCCTCATTCCTGTAAAAATTAAGGTTCAAAAGTTTATGCAACTTTTGTGATTTTGCCTTTTAAATATCATAGTTAGCTACACTCATCGGTTACCCATGATAAAGGTCGTTGACAAGTTAAGGGAGAAAGTATGTGTCAGATTGCTGATACCGTTTATTTTAAGCTATGAAATCAAACACAGCAGCGTATTATGCTAGTTATAAAGATATTGTTTTGTATGCACTATTTTAACACGGTGTCATCATAAGCTTATCCATGTGACTATAACAATACAAAATCACAGCAGTGATATATTGATGTAGTTTTTGTATTTAAGTAAACAGAATATGAATGCAAAATAAGTGTAGAATAAACTATATGAGCTATATCTTCAATCTTCGATGTCTTTTGATCATTGCAGAGCTCATGCAGTGTAGGTCCATGGTGACGGACAGTTCTCTGAGAATATTACTATACAAGTAGGGATTATTGAGGTATTTCCTCACTACGATAAGTAAAAACAACGTTTTTACGAACGTTTTTGGAGTTAAAACCCGATCCCATCTTAAGGTGAGGAAGTACTTAAACCTTAACAAGAACAACCCAAACCGAAGCTGGTAAACATAACACGTATACATGTGGCCTTGAATCAGGTAAATTCACAATTACCAACAATTAATTGAGACAATGATTGTAAAAGAGAATATATTAATGTGTTAAACAAGGTTTCACGAGAAGAGGTAGCAATTTTGAGCAATTCGGTTCTGGAATTCTGCTGTATGAAATAGTCACTCATTTTAGTAAAAAATTCTTTATTTTACTTCTTATTACTGTACACTTTTTCCAACCCAGGTAAGGAGTGTAAACATAGTACGGCGTAAGAGTTACTGATACTATTTAAAAAATGCCGTAACTATGGTATATGGTTTAAAAAAACAACGTATTTTAAAGTGAAGACCTGAAATACTTTCCTCAAAATTATATCTAAGGCACGATAAATCTAAAATAATAACATACTGTACAGCTTCAAGCAATAAAATCTACCACTTGGTATTGAGGCTTCATAAGATAAAGAACGTTTTACCTCAAATCTTCAACTGTAGAAGAGTTTACTTTGAAACACATTTAGGCCTACATATAGCTTATTATATAAATTTTACAGAAGACTATAAACAAACGTAAATAAAACACTATCAAAAGAATTTTAAATAGGTAGCTGATTTATATATTTATGCTAATAGCAATTGCACTCATAAGAATAACATGCTAACTTAAGAGTCCTAGGAGGATTTCTAAATTAAGATAGGACTAATGCCAATTATGTTATATTTTGCTCTATTCCTACACAATTTCAACTCAATCAGTCAAATAGTTTTCATGTGAAAGAAACTTTCACAAAAAATCAAATTTAACAATTTTTTATATTAGTAAGGTATGATTTTATCATCGCTAAATTTTTTCCAACAATCAAAATCAGTTTTGAACACTTTTAGTTTTGAATACCGGTATCTTAAGTAAATATAAAAATATAAACCAATACACAATTTAGCTCACCTTACTTGGACGTGTTGATAAATTCTGTGGTAAATCTTCGTCACAAAACCACGTGGTGTTGTGGTTCACGAAGGTAAGTCCTCCAAGTAGCCTGAACCGCGTCCAGAGGCGCACTGAACTTGAGTCTCACAGGAAGTGTTCAACAATGCAACAATGGGCTGGTAAGGTGGTACACCCCACCACCCTAAGTGACGTCATCACCACCTCCTGCTTACCTTTAGGAAACAGCTGATTTTGTTTCTCTTTATGCTATATGTGTGTTTTGGAAGATGATGAGTCAGTAATTGATATTAATGGTTGTTGACGTTTTACATTATATAATCACGGGGTGAAATTATAAGTACGCGAGGGCTGAAAGTAACTTGAATAACATTTCTGATTTGTATAAAACAATTAAATTATGGAATAATTCTTGACATTATAAAGAAAGATAAATCAATAAGTGTATTTTTCCCCTTTCAGCGAATTTCCCATATAAGGAAAAATCTATTACCATAGGTCTCCATGGTAAGACCTAGGCATGGGACTAATTTACTTTTTCTTTTTTATGTCCTCATAGGCCTAAAACTTAATACGTTCAAAATTCATGTAAATAGAATTATACATTAGCACGATAACTAGCATAAATTCATTCAATTTTGGTGAAATTTGGGAAAAACGTGAAAACCTACATTCTTGCGGATTTGCGGATCTTTGGACTACAGGAACAAGGTATCATAGGTTAAAAGGGTTTCCCCTATTAAAACCTTCAACCCACTGTACTTCAAAACATAAACTTTTGCTCTTTACTTCGAAATAATTTCGCATGGCATATAATAAACGAATTATTTAGTACTCTAATTCGTTATTGTGCTGTAAATGGCTCCTTAGAAAATTCCAAAAACTATACATTTGAAATTCCCCTGTTATCTTACTGAGAATAAGTAAACTGCAGTAGTAGTTTACTTATTCATGGATGGATATATTTTAATCAAGCTTGGTATATATTTTTTTATTTCATGCTATGCTACGAACATTTTACAAAAATAACCTTGTAACCCCGTAGCAGCAAACCTATTTTCTCAATACACTTAATGCCATTTAAATAGAAAACGAATCTGCCATTTTTGGGAAATATCTTATTGGAAACACAACGAGGCAAAAGGAAATTAGCTTTGTCTGCAGGCTTGCTGTGGCGGGAGTGTTAAAATTTTTTAGTCTTAAAAGTTTTATTGGCTAATAGGTAGGAGATTCAATAGAAAATTCTTCTGTTTCAAGTTAAATTTTATTAGAAAATAAAATATAGCCATGATTATTTCTCTTAGAGCAATCCCTCTCATATCATTCCAGGGCTTTCAATAGTAAAACTAAACATTTATTTAGAAATAAGAATTACATGAATAATGTATGCTACATACCGTTAGCATTCTTAGGTTTCAATTTTTAAATAAAAATACACTTACATCCTCGTTTCTTTCCTTACATTTTCCTTTCTTTCGTTTTTAGCGAATTTCCCTATAGGGAAGTAGCTATTACCGTAGGTGGCACGGTAAGACCTAGACATGGGACCAATTTACTTTTTCATTTTGATGTCCCCAGAGGCCAAAAACACCATTCGTTCAAATTTTTATATATGTATATATATATATATATACGTCCGTGAACGCGATAACTTGAGTAATTTTTGTCCGATTTTGATGAAATTTGGTTTAAAGGTGTAAAGCAGGATAAACTTGAATGAGTTCGCAAACCAGCACGATCGGACCATGGGAACGGGGCTTTACAGGGGGTTTTATGGGGTAAAAATTGGTTTTTCTCACTTTTGACCCTCAAAAAACAAAATTTCCCGATTTCTCTTTAGACCTTTTTAAAGAGCTTAAAAAACAAATAATTTAGTATATAAAAGAATTTTTGTTCGATTATTAGTAACGGAGAAAATTAAAAAAATTTTAAATTAAAAATTCCCATGTTATTCTTATGGAGAATATTGTCAAATGTTGTAGTTTGCTTGTTTATGGATATATTTTGATCCAACTTGGCAAATTTATTTATTTTGTACTAAGCTATCAATATTTTACTCAAAAACACACTTTATTCGTTTCCTTGTAGCAGCAAACCTAGGTAATCGTTAAACCTAATGTTATTAAAATATATTTAACTGAAAATCAATTCAGACAAATGGAAATTCGCTTAGTCGGCAGGTTTTCTGCGGAGGGTGTATTTAATACTTAACCTTAAGATCATGCTATTGACTTTTGGAGAATAGGACTTTAGGAATACTTCTCATTTTAATTAATAAGCTGAAGGAAATGTTTTCAACTACATTCAGTTTCATTATAAAATAAATGGATCGGTAAAGAAATAAAACTAGTGTCCATCGTAAATTCAAAACATCATACATGATATAAGATTCAATAAATATTTAGCAAAATATTGATAAAGTTAATTTTAGTACGATGTATTTGACAAAAAATAAGGATATATCAGCTTGTACAAAATACAACACAATTATATTTTCAATCAATATTTACGATTAAGTTTCAAGTAACCCAATTATCCCAAGTTCCATTGAATTTTTCTGGATCGCTGTCCAAATCAAAAAATATCATGTCATCTGGAATTGCGTCCAATTTGTAATTATCTAAAACAGCCCCCATGAATACACCTAAAATCGGATACTTCCAAAAAATGTTCTCCTGTTCACAAGCGTCTTCAGCCAAGTCGAATATACAGGGTGTGTCGTCACAGTTCAGAGGTGAGGTGTCTTTCCTCTCACACGAAATCGTCGCTTTTTTCCTCAACTTGATTACTTGTGAAGATGGTAGCCGATATTTCCTCAGCTTCTTCGTTTGAACCCAAGTTTTTGAAGTCGTCACTTGAGTGACGTCATAGCTCGGAATATTCCTGGAAGTGATGGAGTCGTGGTTCAGATAGCTGCTGTGGTCAGCTGCGTCGTCGTTGTACTGTAGGTACGAAGTCGCTCCTGGACAGGTGTTTTCACTCAATTATTGATTATAGACATTGCATTAGAATTGAGGAAGTATATAGTCTTCCTAAGCACTCAGTAGTTTAACCTTACCTTAATGTTATATTGCAAGGGGAATCACTTATAGTCTATACTATTGATTGTTTTCAGTTTCCTACAGGTTGGAAGCCACTAGTTACCAGGTCTATTCAAAGAATATTGATGGAACTCTTGGGTAATCTTATGTTATACAGATCACATCAGGTTTTATCTATTACATCCACCACACTGGGTAAGGTAGGATTAGGATATAGTTGATAGATTGACAAATGTGGTTTAATTAACCTGTTGTGGTCAGTTTAACGAAACCAATTCATATAATTAGCTACAGTAAAATTAAATATATTAAATATGTCATATAGTTGTGTCCTTAAGTCTTCTACTTTATTCATATGTTAGATCCAACATAAGCTGCATACACATGAACATAAGCAACATATCCATTGTTACTCAAGTAATAAAAATAGTGGTATGTGTAGTGAACAATTGTTTAAATTCTCTGATAGGAAAGACTTGAACTATGAATCAATTTTAACGGTATCGTCCGTTCCCGACCCTGTGAGTCACTAATATTTTCCTATAATCAGTTCCGTCCATTCATGTACTTAAATAACTTACAGCTTGTTTTTCCTAATACATTCCACCTAAACTCACAGGAAAATTCAAGGTTGAAATTACCGACAGTATTTTAAAACAAATATGTGAATTTTAAATGGAAAACTGTACATCAATTTCCGTCACCTGGAGTGTATCACCCTGTAAGATTGGGCACAGAAAATTTAGTTTTTAAAATAACACGAAAACTGCACTGGTTACAACTCTAATTGATATTTGCTCACCATAAATGTATTTGTAGTGTCCCATGATGATACTTCTCATATTATTAGTATCGTACAAGTCCAATAACAGAGATGTCCGAGGACTGGGCAGGTCGTAGCAGATCGATAGCCACTGGTCTACACCATCAATATACGTCAAGGGCTTTTGGTAACCTGTGTGTCAATGCAATTATTTAAATGTCAATACTATCAGTCACCATGATACCAATGGTAATGGGGTACAAATGCATGGATTTTAATATCACCTCAGAAAGTAGATTCAAACAATATAAAATCGTTAATTAGGCCTAATGTGGAATTGACGTCAACCAAGTCATTACAAAACAAATTTATTATAATTTTGCAAAATATTTTTAGCGATAATAATATTTACAATAATTGTGTTTTTTTCCACCTGTCCATTCATCTAAAAACTCTCGGACGTTGGTAAGGATCTTAAATAGGTCTTTTCAACCAAACACATATTATTTGCAGTTTAGGCTATAATGTTTGCAGAGAGAATATATTCAGGTGGCCATTTTTCTGTTGGAGCTACATAAATTGTATCTGATTGCAGTAATATTCCCAATTTCCCATTTTAACGATACAATATACCACATGGAAATTTATGCGCCTATACTACTTGTTTAGATTCATAGTAAGATCAAGCTACAGTAAAAACACTAAATCCTAAGAAAAACATATTACTAAGGAAAGATTGTTTCAGTTTTAAATCATAAAAAAGTTGCATGGGATTTTTTGGAAATATTGATTCTTAAATCCAGTTTTTAGATTTTCTTGTTGTATCAATTTGAGCAAATGTTTTTATACTAATATCTTACTATAATAATTTTAACAGGTCTTAATTTGTCTAGTAGAGTTGATCTAGTACTTTCTTTACTTATAGTATTTTAAAATAAGGTTTGAATGGTCCAGGATTCTAGTTATATCAATGAGATGTCGGTAGGAGGGGAGGTGCTGCTGCCAAGTGGCCATGTTTAAAACTATAAACTCCGTGTGTAAAAACAGAACATTAAATTCTTTTCAGCAATTAAATTTAATTGTTGTGAGTAAGACTAACCCATCCCATTATTGTATAGTATTTTAGTACTTATAGGTACAAATAAGACAAGAAACAAGAAATATTACAACAAAAAACTTAATTCGATGTGTTAAGAGTTAATTCGAGAGTAGCGTCTTGTTATGTAGCATACCGAGACTTAAAATACGGTTATGTTTTATAATTTTATTACTGTACAATATGTG